TAGTGCAATGACCACAACAAGTGACAAGTCCCAAAAAATCATTTCTTAAATCTTCTAGAATTTTGAATGCCACTTCCACGCTCGCTTCTGATATTCTCATGGTATCACTCAGACATTCTTGTTTCCATTTTTCACACAAGAGTAGATATTTATGAATCCAATCTTTCTTATTTTTCACTTGTTCGACTATCCATTCAACATCCATGGAAGAAATTTGAAACTTTTTAAAATCCGAACGAGAGGGTAACTCAATTGGCGAATTTGAACTTTTGGAATCCTTGTCGTCATCATCGCTGTCATGTGAAATTTTCTCTTCTTTGTTTCTGATGTTTTTGAGAGAATTTCCTCACACTCGTGATAATTCAATTTCTTTGCAAGATCTAGAGCCGTTTCTTCATTCTTTTCATTCAATTGCATTCCGTCATCAGATGGTCAATATCATCATAACCATTTTTATAAACAATAAAAAATCACGAATACCTACATGATTTTCAATGTCGGGATCAATATCTTCCAATTCCCACAAGAGAGAAACAATATTTGGATGGTTTGCTTCAACGGCCGCATGAAGGGCTGTTTCCACACGTTGTGTCGTGTCGTTGTTTTCATTGAAAATATTTTCAAAATTAACATCGGCTCCTTCATCAATCAAGAATTTTACAATTTCAAAGTGTCCTCTAAACAAGCCCAGTAAAGAGCATTCTAATTTCGAATGATCGTGTCATTATGGACATTCAATGGTTGATGATCAATTCCATATATACATATAACATACACCACCGCCTTTGCTACATTCATCATCAATTGTGAAAGGACGAAACAACTTGCGGGCCAGAGGCAAATCTCCACTTTTGCATGCTTGAATGAATTCGTCTGCGTCGCTGGTTGACATTTTTTCTTAAATAATTATGGAATATGAGTTTCTAAAAATCTCGAATTTCAAAATTTGAACTCTTCTTCCAAGTTGTCCTTCTCATCTTCCTCTTCCATATAGTAATCACAATCTTCATCACAAAAAGATAGAAATACCAGCTCTTCATGCATCCTGAAAAGTATTCCATTCAATGATGGTGTGCTGTTGTCACGAATAAAATTTAAAGCTCTGAAATGATCATGTAAATCCTCGAATTGAAGTTTCATGTTCGACAATGGTTTACCACCTAAATGCAAAATATAACCACAATGAAAATGCTTTTCTGAAACGATGTTGTCACTAAGCATTAAGAATTTAGCAATTTCATATGTGAGATTTGACACCTCAACAACTGCGTTTTCTGAAACTTGTTGTAGCAAAGATAATGCTCCAGGAGTAAAATTTGTATCTGCTCTATAGTCTTTAGCAATTCCTCTAACTACTCTCTGGAAAAGAAGCTTAGGATTCACCATATCTCTCCGTGACTTGAAGGGCTGACGAATCTTTCGTTTCTTCATTTCCATAACATTCGTGGTGTCTTCAAGATGATCTATTATTGAAAATTTTCTCTTCTTATTTTCACACTCTTCATTCAAACTTGTTCTATTTCCAAGAGTGATCTTGTGATGATAAGTCATGCTATACATGAGTTCTTTCATTTCTACTTTCTCCGTCAACGACAGCGCACACTCAATAATTTTGTAAGCTTGTTCATCGAAATAAGGATCACCACTCTTGGGCAAGTCATTGGCTTTCCCGATCATTTGTTTGATAAATTCTTCCTGCAAAAACTCTTCTTCGTCACACTCATCACTTTCTGAATCGAACATGTTACGTGTCATATCGTCATGTGGTATCGAGAGGGATGTTCGATGTTTCATGTTGTTCGTGTGTAGGGAATTAGAAAGATTGTTGAAGAAGTCGATGGTCCTCCTATTCAAATGTTCCTGAACAAATTGAGATCCAAACTTTTTTTCAAATAATTCAAATATTTCTTGACAACAAGTGTCATCTGGATGATTTTTAACGATATGATGAGACAAAGATAGTGGAGACATGGAAAATATTGGTTGATCGTAGGAAAGGGTTTGCATTGAACTCGAGAAGCAAGCATTGAACCATTTCGAACTGTTTCATTCGCACTGCATAGTGCAAAATTGTGAAGCCTAATACATCAACTTTTGAGGTCATGGAATAAGCAGAGACAATAGGACTATTATGTCTCTCTTCCTCTCCTTCATAAAATTGCAAGTCAATATTCCATTCAATATTGAGTTGGGAATGGTTGATTCTGAGTGTCGCTATTGAGAAAACAATGAATCGACGGGATTGGACATTTTAGTGACTTCTGACCAAGGCACCATTTCACTACATCCATATTGTTTGTCCATACTGCAAGAAATTGAAGAGTAAAGCCATTTGAAATTCTAGGAATAAAATCAAGACCTGTTCTGTCGAAATTTCTGTTTTGGAGGCCATCATATAATAACATACTACAAACAGGAATTCCTACCTCACTTAGCAGTTGCATTATCCAAAGAGCAGTATTCATTCTGTGTTCCATAGCCATAATAAAATATTGACGAGGAATTATTATACTATTAAAAGCATCCATTTCGATCCAATGATTGCATACAGAGCAATCCATGAGTGAGTCATCTTTCAAAAACTCCACCATTTTCATATTTAGTAACTGCTTTTCAATTTGTTGTGTATTTACTACTTCGTATGTTGTTGGATGATCTCGTATTTCCTCTAACATGGGCTGAAACATTCTCAGAAAATAATGTTGTATCGATGGAGCAACTCGCTTACTTCCGAAATGTCGCAATGCATCACCACAAAGAGCGATGAAGAGTAAGAATATCAATAACTTATTGTCCGAATAATATGGGCTCGAGAATAGATTACAATCCATCGGTTAACAACTCCAACAAATCTTCTTGTATCGCTCTCTTCCATATTGTAATCATCAATTTCTTTGTTGATAAATTTAAAAGTATTCTCTCTCCTAGTCCGATACAGCAAATCGTGTAGCCAACAATGAAGTTCATTTTCTTGCAGTTGTGCACCAATTAATTCTCTCCAAAATGTACGATCCTCTCCATCGGTGAGCTCGTACCATGCCTTGCAAACATGTCGGAATGATAACACACTTTGCGAAAGTGGAAATGGATCTTAGTGCTTTTGTAAGGGTTTGCTATTTTGCTATTCGTAAACCTTCTAATAGCTCACTATTGGAGGACATCAAGTTGTTGATTTTTTTCAGTCTTATCCTTATTTCTTTCCCTTGATTTTTCAATATAGGGATTCTCATTAAGGCTCTCAATAATATCCAAAGTTTACTACAATATGCAAGATATTGCTTTAACTCTTGAACGGATGAAATTATGTTATCCAAAGGACTTCAATACTAGCAATACTGAAAAGTTTTTGGATAATGATTGTGCATGTGAAAATTTGTTGGAAAAACTCAAATTGTTGTTATTTTATCAACAAGAATTTGTGAAACAGTTATAATTGAGATTAGAAGACTATAAGGATTATTTTATTTGTGTTTAAAACAAAGTAAACTTTCATTTCAATCTTTTCTTCGTCTCACGGACAGGGTAGTTGAAACTTCTGAGTGAACATTAATGTTGAGAGCATGGAAAATCTGCGATAAGGCCCCATCAAACCACCAGCGAAAAAAGTCATTCCAAGATACGATTGGTGGGAAAAGTATGACTTCTTTTGGTATGTCATTAAAATTCCAAATTAGTTCCTGACTGTCAAAACACCTCGTCCAAATTTATTTGGGGATTTTGATTCGTTTTTCATCGTCTAAAAAAATGAATCCCTTTGAATTAACCATCTCTTCCAACAATTCATCATCACCAACCACGAATTCAACAACGAGCTCATGTCCCGAAGTGGACCCTTCTGGTCTTCAATACATTAAATGGATTTATATTATTTTCGGAGAATGTGTTCATTCGAGTTGGGAACAAGCTTCATTCTATGTAGGAATGGCTAGCCTATTCTTTTGGATGATTGCATTATTTCCTCAAATTATTGCAAATTTTAGAAATAAGAGTGCCTCTTCTTTGGCTCTTGGATATTTAATACAATCGACGATTGGAGATTCTTGCAATTTTCTTGCTTGTATTTTGTCGGGACAATTAATGACACAAATATTCGTAGCTGGATATTTTGTTTTAATTGATATCGTTGTGATTGGACAATACTTTTCTACAAGTTGAGGAATGCGAAAATTTTCCAAAAAAGAAAAAATTATCGGATGCAGTCACGAAAAATCGAATGACTTGGAAATGGATCATGTATACTTTCACGAGGATCATGAACAACTCGCCTCAGTTCAAAGAAACAGCGTTGATGAAGATAATTTTATCATGCATGACGATGAACAGTTTCATGATGACCAAAATCATCATGTTTCATTACTTCCAAATAATTCTTCTCTGCAAACAGCAACCACAAAACTGAAAACATCTTCATGGGCTGTTCTTTTATCTATTGTGATTTTTATTTCAATTTGTATCCTTTTCAATAATTAC